CCTCTCACCTCAACTTTCACAGCTCTGTCTGGTTCAGATCGTACCTCTCACAATGCCTCCACTTTATCTCCACAAACAGTTTCTCCTCCAGCCCCCACACTGTCTCATGCAGCAATCCTCAAGACTCTGTCCTTGGTCCCTTCCTCTTCAATATCTATATGCTCACTCTTGATGACATCATCTGCAGACATGAGATCAACTTCCACATGTATGTGGATGACACCCAACTGTACCTCTCTGCCTCCACCTTTGACTTCAGGACCACTGCTGTGCTGACAGAATGTCTGTCAGACATTAAGTCCTGGATGAGAGCTAATTTTCTTCAGTTGAACGTCAACAAGACCGAGGCTCCCGTTAGCACCTCAACAGCTCAGGCCCTGACCTTCCATGGCTGAACACTCCACCTTGCTAAGCCAGTCTGGAACTTTGGTGTCTTGTTTGACCCTCAACTATGCTGCCTACCCCACATCTGTGCCATGACCTGCTCTGCCTTCCCCCACCTCCACAACATTGCCCGGCTCCACCACTGTCTCACGCCACAGGCCACCAAAACCCTCATACATGCTTTCATAACATCGAGGCTTGACTATGCAAACTCACTGCTTGTCGCCTCCCCAGCTCCTCTCTCCACAGGCTGCAGATCATCCAGAACACTGCAACCCATGTCCTCTCCCGCACTAGACTCCGTGACCTTGTCACCCTCATCCTCGCCCAACTCCACTGGCTTCCTATCACACAGAGGATACAGTTCAAGATCCTGGTCCTCACCTTCAAAGCCCTCCATGGTCTTGCTCCCCCCTACCTCTGCGACCTCCTAACCCCCTACCAACCTGCTGCTCCCTCCGCTCAGCAGACTCCGGCCTGCTTCACGTCACCCGCCATGCTCGCCCCACTATTGGAGGACGGGCCTTCCACCACTCTGCCCCCACCCTCGGGAACTCCATCCCGCAGTCCCTTTGCCTTATCCCTCCCTTGCCTCCTTCAAGACCCATCTCAAGACTCTCCTCTTTGACCGTACTTTCGATCACCCTGCTTCCACGCTTGCCCTCCATCCTCCCCGATTCCGACCCCCAGCTCTTGTCTGAAACTCTGTCTGTCCAGTGCCTTGGGACGTCCTGCTGATGTGAAAGGCACTATACAAATGTAATTTTGTTGTTGTTGTTGTTATAGTGGACATTAAAGATTACATGACATGACTCAAAAGTAAAAAGGGGAGTTTTCCCAGTGTCTTGATTAACAATCCTCCAAATTCACTTTATGACTGTTTTGGGGACATTGGTGTGTACAACTTGGCTGCTGTGTTTGCCAACAAAAGCGAGGTCACTACACTTCACAATAAAATCCTGTGAACGCTTTGGGATGTCTCGATAACATTATAAGGTGCTATATCAAATGCAAAGATTATTACCAGAGAAAGAAAGATTTTACAATACAATACATTACAAAATTACATTTTTATAGCACCTTATCATGTCAAAATATTTCAAAGTGATTCACAATTACTGTCAAGTGTAGTGACTGATTTTTGTAGGAAAACGCTGCTGCTGTTTGCACCAGCAAATTCCGATTAACAACCATGAGGTGAATGATTAATTAATCGGGAGCATTATTGGCCAGGACACCGGGAGACGATCCTTTCTCTTTTCAAATACAGTAAAGCTGATGTGCTCCCAGTGTGAAAGGTACTATACAAATGTAATTTTGTAATGGATTGTATTGTAAATACATATTCACATTCTATCATATCAGTTGGGACCATATGTTTAGTATAACTTATGCAAATTGTGAGTTATGCCAAACTTGCACAGAATATAAACTCTTGAACGAGACTTGGGCAGATGTACGATTTAGATGATTATACGATTTATACAGACATGAAAGATGCTCTCAGTCTAACTTCAGTGAAAGGGCAGCCCAATTCGACAGCACTTTGCTACTCAAGTTACGTAGTGGAGAAATTAAGACTTTCCTGAAATTTCTTTGAATACAAATATGGGAAACCCTTTTCTCCTTGCTGAACCCACCACTGTGAAGCCTTTCGAGATGTTATCCCATGTAAAAAGTGCTATGTAAATGAAAGTTGTTGTTGGTGATGGAAGGTAAGGGGACTTCTGGAAGAAACTGAGAGAAATTTAAAAGAGTATCTTGTTCATCACTCATGCACAAGCTTGGACTGACCAGTTGTTCCCTCCTTGCAGTGTTATTTTTCCAAGAAAAGACAGTTCATTTGAGGTTTGTTGTTATAGAGGAACTTAAAAGGGAAAAAAAAAGGCAGAGTCTTGTGCTTGTGATGAGCACGGAAACTAATTCAATACTCAACAAATTAATCGCATTTAATTCAAATTAGCTCGAGGCTGCATAAGCAGTGGCAAAACATAGTTACAATTTTCATAAATTCTATTGATTTAACGATAGTTGCGCACAGCACTGTGCCTCACTGATGTCACTGATGTGCCGCAAATTGTGTTATGAAAGCATCACTTTGATGGAAGCCTGTCCTCCTCCAGTGATGCTACTATTGCCATGGTGATTTTATTCCAGCATAAGAGAATGAGACCTGCACTCCATCTCCAGAATTTGCAAACGGCCTCATTTTTCTCCCCTCCAAATCCGTCATATTTGTGCAACAGAGTTAGGTTTTGAAAGCAATATCTGTAAGTGGGTTTAAAGGAAATATTCTCCCGCAGCTCGAACCCCGCAAAAAAATGGGACAAGTGCCGTTAAAAACAGGATGTTTTTTTCTGCGTTCATTTTTTTAAAATAATGCTTGTGCACAATTTTTGCACTTGCTAAAAATGATTGAAAGCTGTGGAACCGTCAGTGGTTTATGATCTAGAACTAAAATGTGGAAATGAAGCATTGCCACTCTTCAAGGAGAGGTTTACACACCTTCTGCGTATGAGGCTTTGCATAATTTTTAGCCATATTTCCGGTGCGCTGCAGGTCAAAATTCAAGTGAATGGGGATAAATGTTTTGATCTGTTATTTAAGGATTCAAGTGATGTTTGGAGCAAGGTCAGGCTTTAAGCTCTACTCTAATGAAGAACATAATGAAAGTCATTTGGAAGATGTTCTGGTAGATTGCTTATATAAGCATAATATTTACTTTAGAGCTTAAATAAATATTGCTAAGCATACAGAAGTTTCTCAAACAAAAACAGAGGTCGCTGGGAGCACTCAGCAGGTCAGGCAGCATCTATGGAGAAAGAAAAGTGAGTCAATGTTTCAGGTCCACGATCCTGTCTTTGTTTCAGATTTCCAGCATCTGCAGTATTTTTCATTTTGTTTGTGCAGACATTTCTGTTCACGTTAATTTCTGTTAATGCTACACTGCACACTTTTGGGATTTTAACCTCTGTGGTTCAACGTGCACGATTAGGGAAAAACAAATGATACTGAAAGATATATGCTTAGGTCCTCTTTGGATCTATGCGCATACTGTACTGTGTATATAAATATACTATTACTTGGGTCTTGTGTATAAGCATACACTAATTCTAAAGTCTATGTAATCTGTTGAAGTTTGCCAGTTTTAGCCATTTTCTGGGGGTATTGCAGACTGTACCTTTCTGCCATTTATCATAGAATCAGAAATGTCAAGCACAGAAGACCATTCAGCTCATTGTGTCTCGACAATCCTACCTCTGCGCTGGAATTATCTGGTTTAATATCCCTTTTTTCATTGTTGTATTGCTACCAACCGTATAGAATACCAGAGTAATGCTCATTGGAAAGGGGAATACTGTACTGTTCATTATAATTAGAGAATAAATAAATGAAAGTGGTTAAAATTTACTTGCAGAGCTTTCTTAACAAATAATCACTAAAACCTGTCTGACACAGACTCTGGGGAATCTACTTGAACATGTAATGATTGCTGAATCAATAGCTGATTTGACTTTCTAACCTGTGAGTTCATTGACTTAGAGAAATCTAAAGGTCTGTTCAATACTATTTTACCTGAGTTTTGTAGAAGTCATTGTGAGAAGCAAAGAAAGGCAAATATTTTGAACCAAAATAAACGTAAAATGAAATCCAATCTAAAAATGTCAGTCCCTCTTGTTTATCTGTTCTACGAATATAAGAGTTTAAATAAATATTAATAACAATAATCCTTGTATTTGATATAGTGGTTTATCCTGTAAGAAAGTGGAGTCCTGTAGCTCAGTGGTTAGAGCACTCCACTTGCAAGTGAAAGACCTGGTTTCTATTCTCGGTGAAATATTGGGCAAGTTTCCTTACTCTGCAAGCCTCTGTTTACCCAGCAGTAAGTAGGAACCCGGTTGTTAGTCGATTGGTGGATCGCTTTTCCGAGGATAGTAATTCTTTCAAAAAATATATAATCACAATCAATTGGTCATTTCAATCCAAGACTGTTTGTGGGACACTGCTATGTGGCCGTGTTTCACCCACAAAATATACAGTCAATTCACTTTACAGTATATTCTGTGAAGCGCTTTGAGATGTCTACAAGATGTAAAAAGGCTCCATATCAAATGCAAGGATTATTATTATTATCTCAACGACGTGATAAGACATTATATCAAATGCAAGCATTATTAGTATATATTTGCTAGTTCTATATTGACTAATGAAACAGCACAAAGTGACAGGAGGTAGGGTAGATGTTCCTACTCAGCCTCATTTTTGCTGTGCTGGAGAGGTGCCATGAGCCTCTACACAGGAGGAGGAGAAGAAATTGCAGGACAAATTGTATCCTGCTCTTTCTTAGTCCCCAGAGTCACACTTCCTGCCAATTTTAAGGGTTGGAATAAGCTGTACCCGTTTCAGGGTTGAAATTTTAACTTCTGTAGTACAGAGTGCATGATTCGGGAAAAACAAATGATTAGAGCAAGACATGTGCTTAGGATGTATGCATATATATTGTTAAATATACTTTTACTTACGACGTGTGTATAAGCATATGCTAATTGAATCTGAATGTCTCTTGTCCAGGCTGTGAAAGAATGAATGTGACTTGTGTCCTCTGTACTCTGCAGGTGATGTGCCTTCAGGATTTCTTTGGCGATGATGACATTTTTATTGCTTGTGGTCCTGAGAAGTTCCGTTATGCACAAGATGATTTCTCACTGGATGAAAATGGTAAGTCACTTCCTTTGTGCCTGAACATTAATAATCATAAAGCAAAAAGGCTGATTTCCCAATACCGAGCATTGTTAGGTCACAGGAAAGGCTGGTTTAGAAAACTGAAATGTCAATAAGTCTTTGACTCAAGTTGCAAACAATACAATTTACATTTATATAGCACCTTCACATCAGGAGGATGTCTCAATGAGCTTAACACAACCGGCTGGATACCTGAGTCTCTCCAAGAGGGGAGTTGAAGGGACGATGGCTGAAAGTGTGGTCATGAGGTAGGTCTTCAGGTGGGCTTTGAAAGTGGGTAGGGAGGGGACAAGTCGGAGAGATTGCGTTCGAGACAGTGGAGGCAAAATGGCTGAGAGTTGAGTCACATTAGGATAGAAATTCCACCTGGATCTAGATTTACACTATTTGTTCAAAATTTTGAAGCCATTTATCTTAGTGCTTACACGTACACATACACGCATGCATGCAAACACACAGTTGAGTCTGTGCAGTACGACTGAGGTATATTTAGCACGGTGCATAAAATTGACTTTGTGTGTCTGAAATGAGAGAATGAGCCCACGGAGTTGAGTTTTGAGTAATAAAATCATAAAAATTAGTGATGGATACTGTTTGTTTGCAGCTTTAATCCATTAGATGGAGAAAAGTTGACATCCGATAGCTTTTCTTCAATCCGTAACATCTGATGTTCGTGTACTTCCACAGTCTGTCCAAACTATTCTAAAGATATATAAAAAAATTGGTTCAGTTAGAGGGACATGATTGAATGATTGAGCACAGGTCATAAATGCAGCAGTTCAAGATCAAATGAATTGTACTGAAGATTAGTCTGAAGTTAATCAAGAGACAGAGAGGAAAACAACTTTTCCAAATAACGATGGCAAAATGTTAGCAGCTAAAAGCATGAACACTAACTATAAACATGAACAGATTAAGTTTAATTTAAGATTCCTCTGGTGCTTATTTTGCTCTGCTTTCCACTTGTAGGGAGCTTAAAGTTGCATTAGCTTACATAATTATTCACAGCACAAAACTGCTAGAGGCACTTCACAGGAAAATATTACAAGAAATATTTATATCCTAAAACATGGAATGCAATACTGAAGTGAAGGCATGGAAGTCAGAGCCACATTTCAAGTAAATGCCACTTTCAGTCACAGACTTTACCTCTGTCCTTGATGGGGTACAGTTTATTGGAGAATATTGGGAGGAATTTCTCCTGGTGTCCTGACCAACAATCCTCCAAATAGAATTGATCATTCACTCCTTGGCTGTTTGTGCACTAATTGGCTGCTGATTTGCCCCAAAATACACAGTAACACCACTTTGACTCTCCTAAGAAGCTCTTTGAGATTTCTCAATGACTTGATAAATTATTCACAGCACAAAACTGCTAGAGGCATTTCACAGGAAAAGTGGTCAGGAAAATATATCAAATACAAGGATTATTTATCTATTATTTATTTATGTCATTGCCATCCTCACCCGACTCCACTGGCTTTCCATCACACAGAGGATACGGTTCAAAATCCTGGTCCTCACCTTCAAAGCCCTCGGTGGCCTTGCTCCCCTCTACCTCAGGGACCCCCTAGTCCCCTACTAACCTGCCCGCTCCCTCCGCTCAGCAGGCTCCGGCCTGCTTCATGTCCCCCGCCTTACCAGCCCCACTGTTGACGGGCAGGCCTTCAGCTACTCTGCCGCCACCGTCTGGAACTCCATCCCACATTCCCTCCACCTCGATCCCGCTCTTGACTCCTTCAAGATCATCTCAAGACCCTCCTCTTTGACCGTGCTTTCGATCACCCTTCCCCCCCGCCCTCCACCCTCCCCGATCCCGACCCCAGCTCGGGTCCAAAACACTGATTGTCCAGCGCTTTGGGATGTCCTCCCGACGTGAAAGGCGCTTTACAGATGTAATTTTGTTGTTATTATTGCCTAAATAGAGTGAGGATATCAGATGGGTTGAAAATAAGAAAAGCTTTTAGGGTTTTACTCTTATGATCACCACTACCGAAATAATGGTTGCAGATACCAGGAAAGGCACCTAAATATAAGGGGGTCTATAGTCCAACTCATAAGTCTAAAAGACACAAGATAATTGAGAGTGCGGAAGTAACAGACTTACATCCTTATGTCAGATTTTAATAAATGGCTTTCTGAATTTCAGAGGAATTAGTGGAAAAGAAGCCACCCAGGTTGAGCAGTGCTTCATTCAGTAATTGTTGTACCGAGAAAGAAACATTTGTGATGTCTCATCCAGTGCTGTTTGTTTGAAGAAACAAAGATGGAAATGACTTGACAGGAGATGTATTCATTGTTATTTTACTGTGTGTTCTGCTGTAAGTTTGATAAAAAGCATAACTTTCAGAAATGCTACTTTGACGCGGTTTTAGTTGGTTGACATGAGATTCGGTTTGCATGACATACAGTATATAACAACAATTTCCACTTACGTAACACCTTTTAAATAAAATAAACTTCTGAAAGTACTTCACAAAGATGATGGAGGAATCACTGAGCAGGGAAGAAAGGACGAGGGATTTGAGAGTGTTGACCAAAGGCGGGGTCAATAAAATATGTTTTTAGTAGGGTTTCATAGACATGGTGAAAAAGCAAGGGAAGAGATTTTGGGAGAGAATTCCAGAGTCAGGCATAGAGGCCCAGCACTCCCAGTCAGCTGTGTGAAGTGGTTTGAGACGTTTGCCCAACTTGAAAGGTATAATATAAGTGTAAATTGTTGTGGCTGTAGGTTAATGAAAAATATTTTTCCTTGTCCCCAATGGAATATCCACATTTCGCTAACCATAGAGATAACAGTAAATTCAATAAGAGGGAATAATTCCAATTCCATTTATACAGCGGCCTTCACATTAAGAGGACGTGATAAAGTACCTAACATGATTGATTGTGCGCTTGAGCTGAGGAGAGGGAATGGGGGTGGAGGAAGATGACCGATGGGATTTGGACACTGTTACAGGAGAATTCAAGAATAAAAAAGAATCAAAATGAAGAATAAGGCAGTAAACGGAGATATTGATGAGCTGTTGGGAGATAGAATTTGGCAGTTCTGTGGCACACAGGATTTTCTTCAGTTTACAAATCAAAGTTCATGCACACAATTACTCAGAAAGCACTTCTAACAAAATACAAATACCATATCTTAGAGAGTTGGCTATACAGTCCATTGCCACATATTCTCTTTCATCAGTTCTGATAATGTGCTGTAAATCTTTGAAGAGCTTTATAATGCTCTTAAAAACAGGCTGACCAAAGCTGACCGAGCTTTATAACAGTAAGCATCCTTGCCTTTGATATAATGTGTTTCACATTGGAAGGACATCTCGGAGCGCTTCACAAGATTTTCTTTAAAGTGTAGTGGCTGCCTATCCCAGAGAGGATCGATTTCAAGATCCTCACCCTTGTATTCAAGTCCCTGCAGTCCTCTGCACCGCCCTACCTCTCTGACCTCCTCTCTCCTCAAAACAGTACCCGTTACCTTTGATCCTCCGGGTCTGGCCTCCTCCTCGTCCCCTGAGTCCTCCGCTCCACCCTCGGCAGCCGTGCCTTCAGCCACTATGCCCCGAGGCTCTGGAATTCCCTTCCTCACTCCCTTCGCCTCGCCCCCTCTCTTCCTACTTTCAGATCCCTTCTGAAGACCTTTCTTTTCGACCGCACCTTTGGTCACCTTCCTCCCCCTCCCCCTGGCTCGGCCCCAGGATTCGTTACTGTGAAGCGCTCTGAGACGCCGTCTCAGCTTGGCATTCCCTTGCCCTCCAGCTGATCATGCAGTTAAAGAAGGAAATAGACTTAGAGAGAGCGAGATGGTAATTTACGACATGGTAAAGTTGGATAGTCTGTGATAGTATTAGAATTCCATTCTCTTTTTAATAGCTCACATAGAATATCTGTAATTACTCATCGACTTTCTTAGTGCTCTAGCAAAATTACCTTTCTCTGACAGACATTTCTTGTTTTTCTATAGTCAGCAATTGTATGACAGTGAATAAGAAGATTGTGTCACAGTAACTGGACCAAGCTGGATTTCTTTTGGTTGGAATGGAAAGTGGCCTGCATTACTCACTAGCAATTTGTACACTCAGATTCTTTATTGTTTTTCAAAGCATTATGTTAATGACCTTAAATTTTAGACTCATGTACTAGGTGCAAGTCAAGGAAAAGGCATTGGATTAATTATGCAATCATTCTCTTTGTAAAAGGTAGGAGTATAAAAAAGGATAGAATGAGGTCACCTGGGTCCAGTGCTTCACAGTCACATAATCCTGTCCTGGACTCCACTCACTAATCCATCTCCTGGGGAATTTCTATAATGAAGTCCTGTAGCTCATTGGTCAGAGCACTCGCATCACAAGCGAGAGACTTGGGTTTGATTCCCGGCGGGGCAAAACGTTGGGCAAATTTCCTTACCCCTTATGCCTCTGTTTACCTAGCAGTAAGTAGGAACCCGGTTGTTGATCGATTGGCAGATTGCTTTCCGGGGATAATAATTCCTTAAAAATAATAATAATAAATGGGTCATTTAATCCACGATTGTTTGTGGGACACTGCTGTGCGCAATTGGCTGCCGAGTTTTGACCATAAATATACAGTCAATTTACTTTACAGTATATTCTGTGAAGTTCGTTGAGACGTCTCGAAAGTAAGGTGCTATATCAAATGCAAGCATTAGTATTATTATAGATGCACCTTGAACCCCCAAAGGTTGAAACAAATCAAGTAAAAACTCCAAAGCTTTAATAGCTGCATTATAAGATTGACCTCTCTCTGTTTATGCATGCTTTGTTTGAATCTGCACCTCTTCCGATACTCTCCAATACTGTTCGCAAACATTAGAATTACATTCTGTGTTTAATAATTCAAATGGCATATCTTTGAATACTTGTCAAAGTTCTTATTGCTCCAGCAAATTACTTCTTCATTGAACCCACAGCATTTTCTGTTTTTTCTATAGTCAGTAATTGTACGGCAGTGAATAAACCGCTGTGTTACAGCAATTAGATCAAGCTAGATTTCTTTTGAGTGGAATGGAAAATGTCCTCCATTACTCACTAGCAATTTGTACCTTCAGATTCTTTCTTTTTAGGCATAATGCAGTTTTCAAAGCATTATGTTGATAACCTTGATATTTAAACTCCAAGTATGAGGAGCAAGTCAACTTTGCTTATGTATGCTACAATACTTATCCAGTTCTTCTTTGAAGTATTCACAAAGATGATGGTGGCAATGCTCTCACGCATTTCATCCTGGGATCTGGGAAGCTTGCAGGGAATTCCTAGTTCTACCATCCACCTAGTGAGGGCTCAAACCCCATGCTTATTGGATATCCAATGAACAACTAGTGGCTGTTCTTCTTGGGGGTGGGGGAGGGGTGGGTAAACGGGGTCTCCTTGGAGTTGAACTGGGTACAAGGTGTCGTAATCGAGCCAGCCCTCTGTGGTAGTCCGGTTCCTGTGCAAAGTAGATCCGCAGTGCTCCAGGTCCTGGTAATGATACCACAACCAGCCTAGTCTCGGCTGAACTTGGAAGGGCAGACCAGTCACTGGGGGCAGAGAGTCATTCCACTCATCTCCTGTTAAACCAGCAATCCAAAGCTCTAATGGGTAGGGTGGTCCTAGCTAGACAGGCAGCAGGAAAGCTTGCCAGACAGCAATATCAATGGCAAGCTGTACAGTTTTAGCTGGTTAGGCTCCAGCAGTACCCCAACGCACACTCTGGATTCCCTAAGCCTTGGGTCTTGCCAACCTGGCGCTACCGCTTCCTGGATTTAGATAAGCAGGATGCATCCCTCCAGGGAGAGAGTGCGCATTCCATTCCAACAATCTATCTCTGGGATTTCCATGTGTAGGTGGGATGCATGGAATTTTTAGTTTGGTTTGGATACTCTTAAGCATAGTGATGGGTTTCAGCATTTGGCTGATGAAAAACATTAATTCACAAGATTATGACAACCTTCTTACTCCAAGAATAGCCATCCTACTCTCTGTTTTTATAATAGTGTAATGGATATCTCCATTGTGTGTGTGATTGGGGTGGGTTGAGATTATGGTTGACCGATACACTGATGTGGAAGAACATTTTAGTGTCCAGGGGTATAAGAGGGAGTCTAGGGAAGCGGGTAAGAGAGCAGCAGGTGGTTTAGCTGATTGGTTTTGTGTATTTGGCTTTCATGAAGGGAAGGGTATCGGAGCATCTTATATAGAAGAGCATCATAACACAATCAAAAAAGTGGACTTTGTCTCACTACAACTTTACCAACTGCAACATTCCTAGTTCCTGTTATGTGATGCTAAATACTTCAGCAATTGAGGAAAACACAAACTTAAATGATATAAGTCAAATGAAAAATCATACGAAGAGGAATGAAATGACAAAACATTATGAGAAATAATAAATAGTGTCTATTGTCAGCTAAATAAACACAAAATGACATTTGAGGTTTATTCAGCTGGCAATAGTCAGAGCGAGGGTGACTATAATTTATTCATAGAACTTATCAGCCTTAAATTGAATTCTGATGTCTGAGCAAAAGGCATATGTACTAACTGGTGTTTCTAGCATATGGGATAAGGCATATGTACTAATCGTGTTTCTGCAAGTAGAACTTTTCATGCAGAGGTTTTCCATATGACTGTATCATGGTCAGACAACAACGACATATTGTATTTATGGGGACCTTTCACCGCTGGAGTATTTCCCAAGGTGCTGGACAGTTGAGGGGTTGCAAGTGAGCTGGGGGTTGGATTCGGGAGGGATAGGGGCCAAAGGGGGTGATGGGGTGGTGGGGGAAGATGACCCGAAGGCACGGTCAAAGAGGAAGGCCTTGAGTTGGACCTTTAAAGAGGCAAGAGAAGGGACAAGGTGGAGGGACTCCGGGATGAAGTTCCAGAGAACAGCGTTAAAAAAGCTAAAGGCCCCAACTGCTGATGATGGGGAATACAGGGTAGGGCTGTGAAACAGGCCAGTGCCTGCTGACTGGAGGGAATGGGTAGGTTGGTAGGAGGTTGCAGAGGTAGGCTGGGGCAAGACTGCAGAGGGATTTAAAAGTGAGGATGAGGATCGTAAACATAATCCTCTGGGAGATGGGGAGCCAGATGGAGAGATGGATGTGGTAGGTGCGCGGAGGCATTCACTAGCAGCAAGATAATGGGCAAAAAGCTGTCTGAATTTTGGTCGAGGACACAATATTTCTTGAAAAGCTCTTTCATGTAAAAGTAACCCTACATCAAGTTGAACCCTTCCAATCTCATGAGAGAGTATCATCTCATCCCCACTCGGTGCTGACAGAGGAAAGTTTGAGATAACTGATAGAGAGTAGGTTAAGAGTTACAGAGATGACGCACCGAAAGTGACTTAAATGTACATCAATCTTTCACAGAGGCTTTTCTGGCAAAGAGGGCAGCAGTACTATGTAGTTATGCAAATAAAAGAACAGTGATTATGGAGAGTAGGGGCATTAGTGCCCCAGGTCAAACCAACTTGTTAAGAGATATTCTTGATCTCGTTTTTGCAGCTGTGGCTCTGTAGTCTGAAATTAAGACAGAATACAAGGAAGTTCCATGTCAAGGAACTTCCCTTATAAATTTATAACAAGAAATGCACTGTTGTTTTACTCCTTTTCTTTGCAATATAGTTTGCATTTCATTGTAATGTGCATATATAAATACACGGCTGTTTATGGGAGACTGCTGTGCGCAAATGGCTGCCGTGTTTTGCTCACAAAATACAAGTCAATCCACTTTACAGTCTATTCTACGAAGTGTTTTGAGACTTCTCAACAATATGATCAAGATATATCAAATGCGTTGATTATTATTTTTATCATTATTGGAGCACTCTGAGACTCTACCTGTATGAAGGGTGCTATATAAATGCAGGGTCTTCTTCAACCGAACCTTTGTCGTAATCTTGTGAATTAATTTTTTTCATCAGCCAAATGCAGAAACCCACCACCGTGCTTAAGAGTATCCAAACCAAACTGAGAATTCCATGCATTCCACCTACACATGGAAACTTTTTATAATTGCTTCTTGTGATTCTATTGTTCCATGCCGACTCTAAATAATGTTTTTTTGATTTTGAATTGTTCTATATATTTGCTTTGAGGGCATGAAATCTCTCTAATTTCCCTCTTGTACCTCAGGTCTCCACGGGCCAAACATTAATTGCTGGCAGGAAGATGGTTGGCAACATTCCTAGAAGCTAGTGTGACTAAAAAAGAGCAGGATACAATTTGTCCTGTGAATTTCTTTCCCTCCTCTTGTGTAGAGGCTCATGGCACCTCTTCAGCACAGCATAGATGAGACTAAGTAGGAACATCTACCCTAACTCCTGTCATTTTGTACAGTTTCATTAGTCAATGTAGAACTAGCAAATATATAACATATACTAATAATCGTTGCATTTGATATAGCATCTTATCACATCGTTGAGACATCTTAAATCGCTTCACGGAATGTATTATAAAGTGAATTGACTATGCATTTGGGCGAAACATGGCAGCCAATTGTCCGGTCATGGATTGAGTGATCAGTAATTTCTTTTGAGAGATTATTAAACCCGGAAAACGATCCAACAATCGACTAACAACCGGGTTCCTACTTGCTGCTAGCTAAGAGACATGTAGAGTAAGGAAACTTGCCGAAGCTTTCTCCTTGCCTGGGAATGAACCTGGATCTTCTCACTTGTGAGGCAGGAGTGCTAACCAGTGCGCTCTGGGACTCCACAAATAAGACTAAGGTTTCTTATAGGTCCTTCTTAAAGAACCCAAAAGCAATGATAAGTCATATTTGCTAGTAAGATAGGTGTATAATATCAGTGAGGAATTACTGCATTTCGCCCACAAAATACACAATTCACTTTACAGTATATTCTGTGAAGATGTCTCAAATGCATGATAAGCGCTATATCAAATGCAATGATTATTATTAATATTATCAAACGAAGAATTCAATCTTGACAAATTGTTATTTCTGTTCAGCTTGTCCATGAGGTTTGTTTTTTGTGAGTAACTTGTATAATGGTCCTTTTTGTTTTGTTGTTCTGCACCAACAGAATGCCGAGTGGTCAAATCCACTTCCTACACTAAAGTACCCGGTGCAGGTCCCTCTGGATCCTCAGCACCATTACAATCCTCAGGACCATCAGGATGGAGAAGTGTCACAAAAAGCCCTGGGCCATCCCGACGAAGCAAGTCCCCGGCTTCCACCAGCTCAGGTAACTGCAATGCGTGACCACAGGTTTTGCTGAGATCGCTGTATTTATGTCATGAAACAGCGCACTTTGCTGTAATGAATACAAAATTGATTTTTCACCAATAAATTGTGGGGTACAAGTTTAAATGATCACAGGCTGGGATCAAAGCACAAATGTTCTTAAATTATTGTCTTAACCTCAAGGTACTGCTCGGTCGCTGTTTTTAATTTTTTACGGTAATTTTACTCAATTTGGAGTTTGGTCTCGTGCCAGCTGTGGATCCAAAGCAGATTCTGGTTAATGCTAATACACACAAATTGTGAATGCACTCCAGACTTTTCAGACCTGAGGATCTTCACACTCGGAGATTAGAAATTGTGATATTGTTATCTCAGGACTGTTGTGAAACAAAGTAAACCAGTGTTTATTAAAACTGTATTGATACTTTCTCAGATAGGACATTTGTGACATGTCCACAGTGATTAGCCAGATTTGTTTGAATCCTTAGTACTCTACCATTGTATCAAAATGTAGCCTTAAAGGCGTCTTATCATGTTGCACAATGCACCCGTTAATATTATTGCAGCTAGTATATATTGTGAATTTCAATACTAAGGTGAAAATGTCAGTATTGCTGTTAAAAATTCACTTGGGAGGAAAAGATCACAAATTGTAATGGAATCTAATCCATATTGACTTTTATGGCAGCCTGACTGGCAGTTTGATGAACTGAGTTCACCAACCAGATATCAGCTTAGTTCTCAACTATTTCACAAGATCAGAAGATTAGTTTGGATGTGGAAGGCCCTTCAGGCCATCTGATCTCATCCTTCCAGAACACCCACACTACTGCCCCCACCATAACAACATCAAGCTGTTTTTTAAATGAGTTCAGCGTTCTGCTCTCTACCACCTTTCCTGGCAACCCATCCCAGTCATTGATTACCCTTTGCATAATGAAACTCATCCTGGTAGCCGCACTGAAATTGTGATTTACAACTCTAAACTTACATCCTCTTCTACTGTTTTGTTGTAGTCTAAACAAATAGGCTGCCAACAAATCGCACTAAATTTGCAAAGGGCTTTCAAATTGAATTGTACACAATGAAACATGATATTAGTGAGAAAACTGTATTTATACTTCTGATGCTTCTTTATTTTTGATTATATAAACTGTATGTCATTTCAAAGTCTACATATAATGATAATTCTAAATGTAGCACTAGGAGAAACTCCCTTCCAGGTCTATTTAAACTGAAAAGTCAGCATTCGATGCTCTCGAAAGTATCAATTATTGTTTCAATGAAGGTTTGCAGAAATTTTGTCCAAATCCTATTACCAGGACATGCATAATTCTGGGTCTTTGGGAAGATGGTTTTCCAGACAAGAATCTGGCCTTTTCCACAGCAATTTAGATAGCTTTGGATGAGGAAGGCCAAGGTAAATATCTGAATAATTGGCTTGTTGGTTACCCAAAGTAATCACTGATCCACCAAACTAAATTTGAGCTTCCTTTAGAAGTGTACACAGCAGTATCTATATTCATTGCATTCATTCACAGAGTTGATACCCAATGCAGGGTATTAACAGACAATTCAATTACCTGTTATTTTAAATTACCCTTGGTAATAGAGCATAATCCCCAGTGAGTCAAATTAGAGTCAATCAATCTCAAATTGGTTACAAAGTAGTTATATTTCAATCATAAGCAACAACCAACTTTTCCACAGTTGGTTGTTGAGTAATAATTATTATACTGGGGTGTTAATAGATAAAGATTAGTCTCCATGTCTAACTGAGCACTTAGTTTGCCCACACAGCACATTCACCAGCTTCACTCTGTACCTTTATTGAGAAATCTAGATAATAATATTATAATAATAATCCTTGTGGAGTCCTGTACTACATTAGTTAGAGCACTCCCCTTGCAAGCAAGAGTACCCAGGTTCGATTCCCAGGCAGGGCGAAACCTTTGGCAAGTTTTCTTACTCTAGCATTTAAGTAGGAACCTGGTTGTTAGTTGATTGGGGGATCGCTTTCCTTTGGTAATAATCCATTTAAAAAAAATAATAATAATAACTTGGTCACTCAATCTACAACTGTTTGTGGGACACTACTGTGCACAATTGGCTGACGCGTTTCACCCACTAAATATACAGTCAATTCACTTTACAGTATATTCTGTGAAGTGCTTTGAGACGTCTTGATGACGTAATAACGCGTTATATCAAATGCAAGGATTATTATTATTTTATTATAGCGCCTTACTCATTACATCATTGAGACGTCTCAAAGCGCTTCACAGGGTGTACTGTCAAGTGGAGTGACTGTGTATTTTATGGCCAAAATGCGGCAGCCAGTTGTGCACAGGAATGTGTCACCAATAGCCGTGGAGTGAATTACCAATTTTATTTGGGGAATTGTTGGCCAGACCAGATGAGCAGTGAAGCATTAAAATTTGCAGTTACCCCCTACCTGCTACTATAGATAGCAAGGTGGCAAATTGTTCTGTGCCTTTACACTTTGGTTTCAAACAAATCCAGCAGTGTTAACTTTGCAACAGTCAAAGGCATAAGAAGGTGAAAACTCCACAAGAGTGCCAAATGCTTAAGTAAATAAAATCTAATTAACTCTATATGTGAGACTGATCAGTAGTATATTTAAGTCACCAATCATAGCATTCGCCAATCTTAAATGTCTTTGGATATCATCCCAATCTGAATTCAGCCTGCAGTTGCTTTAATAAAACTATGTTACTGTATACATTAAAAGAGATTTAATAGGTAATGTTTTCAACAAGCGTTTTAAATCCATATTCAATCTTTAAAACATCTTATTGCTTTATATAAAAATGAATTAGAATAGGGCATTTGGTAGAATAAAGAAACATAATGAATGGTTAGAAAACATCCTCTGGGACATATTTTGTTGCAATAATGTTCTTTCAAACTACAGAAAGTTTGTGAAAATCTATCTCTGTTCCTTTCTCTGGTCACTGAATGTGACATGAGTTGTTATGAACCCAGTTCTTAGCACTAAATTGGATTTCCAACTCAAAGTAGTTGCAAGGAATTTGGAATAAAAAGTGGTGTGCATTTTGGGGAGGGGCTGTTCTTAACATAAGATTGATTCATATTAATATAATAATAATCCTTGGATGTGATATAATGCCTTATCACATTGTCAAGACATCTCAAAGCGCTTCACAGTATCTTTGTTGGTATGGATGAAGAAATCTATTTGATCCATTTGAACTCATCCTTTCAGAAAACCCAAGTAACTATTTTCCTATAGCGGCCAGCTATTTTTTAAATCACTCCAGCATCCTACCCTCAGCCACCCTTCCTTGTGACCCACTCCAGTTGTCTTTTACCCTCTGCGTAAATAAGTAGTCCCTGATGTCTGCCGTGAAATCGCCCTTTACAATTCTAAACTTGGTCCACTTGTTCTACTGTTTCTGTGAAAATATTGTTTTGGGTTTATTTTTTCGATCCTATTTAAAATCTTACATGCATCTTCGAAGTCCCCTCTGAGATCTTTCAAGACTGAAGAGCCCTAGCTTGCATAATTGTTTCTCATGGCTCCTTCTTCTAACACTGGAGATCATCTTCTCATATTGTGGCATCCTGAAGTTTATGCAGTACTCGATGTGCAGCCTGACCAGAACACTATGTAGCTTATGTATGACATCTGAGGATCTGAACAAAACTGATTTGGCAATATAGCTCAGCATCCTGTTTTTATTGCTGCTTCACACTGTTTAGAAATAATGAGCGATGAGTCAGTGAACATCCCTAGGTCTCTTTATGAGTCTGGAGTTAGGCAATACAGTTGGGATTTTGGAGGAACTTTATGCTACATCTAATCTATTTGTAGATGATAGGTTGACACTATTTGTAGATGATGGTTAGAATCGACAAATCACTTTACAACAAAAAGCAAGAAAGAAATTGCAACTCGGCTACTGCCATAGTTTGATGAGTAAATATTTTGTTCCAATAATATAGAGGCAAATGTAAGCATATTTTTCTTAAAATGTCTATCAGGGAAACTGCTTAATAATGATTCTTATGAACATATCAGAACTGAAAAACCTTCTTCAGCTGGAGCTTTCTTGTATTATTCAGTGTTGTCACAAAGAAAAGAAAGAGCTTTCCTATTTTTACATAGCCTATAAAACCGAAACTTCTCAAAGTGCTTTACGGCAATGAATATCACATGCAGTGACTATATTTTGTAGCCAAATGGAGCAGTTATTTTGTGGAAAAAAAAGCACCCCACAATGGTGAATGATAAATTTATCTAGAGGAATGTTGGCTACGACAGTGAGAGAATCTCTCATTTCTTTTTGAATGTCCCATAGAGTTTTTGTCACCCATCTGAAAGAACTAGCAGTCAAGGACTTCAGTTTAACATCCCTTGCGAACGATGCCACTCTGACAATGCAGCAGACCTACCTCCAGTATCACACTGGACTGTCAGCACAGTCTGTTTTTGTCCAGTCATATGCTTTACACATGTGGAGACCTAACAATATGATAAAGAATATCTAAACCAAACCCAGAGTTCCATGTATGCCGCCTACACCTCCAGATTTCTGTGTCTGGAATGGAATCAAACTCTGGCTGATCTGCCTTTCAAGTTCTACCGCTAGCTGGTCTGTCATCAGCAGTGCCCTGGGATGCCAAACATGACACATTGGAGCCAGTTCATCTCCAATGACACTCCTCTTATCTTATCCCGCGCGCTCCCATCACCACAAGGAGGATAGTCATATGCTATGAGATCAATTGGTGGCATGAAGGTGGTGGGTGGATGAAATTTTCAAGCATCTAGACCAAAGGCTTTTTTCCTGATTGGATAGTGTAATAGTGGGCAGATAAATTCTTTCGTATGACGTCCCCTTGATGAATGAAAAATATCCAATGGCACAATTATAGATTTAGGTTCTGTCTGGAGAGAATATTTTCATCTATCTGACTCGAGAGTGAATTTACTGTTCGGTAGCAGTGGGAACAATT